TTTACATTCAATAAATCTAAAGCATAAAGTTATTTAGAATTTATAAATATTTTAGTTATTGTAAATATTGATATGTGTTCATGAGGTTCCAAAAATGTATCAACTACTTATGCATGTAGCCTTTTATTGATCATAGGACAACACAAAACATATTAACAAATGAAAATAAATATTAACCAACTCTTACAATTTTAGTTCTATTGTAAAATTTATATATATGCATGAGACTTTGGAATATTATCGTTATATTAATTTACGTATTTTGGAATCAGACACTTTAGTTAATTTTTAATTCATTCTAAGCACAATATATCTTAAGTTATACATAATTTTACTAAAATATATTTACATATCTAAGACAACACCCACTATATGCAAATATATAATTAATAAAAAATTAATATATTTTAAAATATTACATTTGAATTCAGAGATGTAATCCAATTTATCCAAATGATAACTAAATCTATCGTAAAAACAACAAAATCGATTAGATATAACCTATATAAAATTAAAGTAATATAATATTATTAATATAAATTATACATACAAATTATAAATTAATTGAAAATTAAAAAGTAATTAATTATTATCATATATTTACTTTAAAAATATTTATACCCGTGCATGAGCACGGGAAAATCACCTAGTAAAATATAAACTAAAAACACAAATTACTATAATGGGCCAAATGGTTAAAGCCAACCATAACATAAAATAAATTAAACAAAAGCCCAATTATTCTATTATAACAATGTTTAAAAGCCCAATTCTATTAAACTTATAGCCAAACAACATTAAACTCTTTATTACTACTATTACAAACTTAAAGAGTACTACAACTTTAATAAGATAGATTAGAAATATCCCAGTGGAACCTGAATATAATAAAAATTCTAAAAAGAAAAATCAATCGAAACCCAACCGCCTAGTTTCGGCTTGGATAATTTGAGTTGCGATTTCTTTTTGTCAACCGAAAGTTGTGTTATATTCAATTTCCAGTAATGTTGTAATTAGCACTAATACCGGAAACCATTCCTCCCATTTAGTTTGGTTTAACTTCCAAAATCCCTTTTTGGGTAAAAACATTTTTGAATAAAAAAACATTTCAACTCTCTTTTACATAAAGTTTGTTTGTTTCTCAAACGTATCTTTATCTCTTCAGTTTCTTGGGATCTCCTTGTTTCTCATCTTCCTCCAAAGCTTTGAGTTTGTTCTTAATGGCAGCTACTTTTTCATCTCGGCTCATTTGTCCTGAGCTGCTTCCACTTGCAGACCTCAATCTGTTTGCTTCTGGTAATAATCTTTTGGGATGATCATGAGAGGAATCTTGTAGAAGCTTCTCACTAGCTAAACGAACCACCAAGGGCCTACCACAAGCTAATCTCCCATGCATCTTCTCCTTAGCCAATTCAGCTTCCTGTGTACTCACTTTAGATTGTAGACATCAGGAGATTTGCTAAATCAAAAGTCAGACCCATAAATTTTTTGATTACCTAAAACAATCTCATCTAAGCAAACTTCAAAAATCAGGAAAGACAGATTAATTGGTTACCTCTTTAGAGCTGTATTGAATGAAAGCATAGCCGCGTGGCTCTCCTTTCTTGGGCCCGCGTGTGTGCCAGAGGAAGTCTTCTGATATGATCTTTCCATATGGAGAAAACATCTTTATCAACGCAGCCCTATCAAGAAGAGAAAGATTACAAAGTTTTTGATCTATGGTCAGTAATAACAAGCTTTAATTCACGGTGTTTATTTTCCTTACTCGTTTATTTTAAGATCCAAATTTCCAACATACAATCTGCTCTCGCTCTTTTCATCTACAAACCCATTGGTGTCCTGAAGCATGTAAGAAGATGGCACAAAGGTAACATAAGAGAGAATATCAAACAAGATAATAAAGTTGAAAACGAAATAAGTGATGAAATGAAAGGATAGTGTAGTCACCATTAAATTGCAGATACAAAACAGATGGAATGGAACAAGGAAGCTCAAGATATTAAAGAATCTATTCAGCATCCACCTGAAAATAAGCAAGAGGAATTGTTTATGTAAAACAAGTTCCGTTTCAAGATTTCAATAATGTACAATGCTAAAAAAACGCAGGACTACTCTCTACATTGTCCAAACACAATAGAAAACAGAGGGTTGTACTTGTACATGAGAATGGAAGTAAGCACCCAAAAAAAAAAAAAGAAACCTTTTAGGTCAAGGGAGCAAGATATGTGTTGTGAGATTCATTGGTCCGTTCTAAGTGCTATGAGACAGAACCCTAACTGCAACGTAATCAAAACAGTTCAATTAAGAGAGAAAAACCCTAGGTTCCTCGATGAGCTGTAATCACTAACTAATACGCCTACATATAGGTAAACACGCTAGAGAAAAAAAACAAAAGGAAAGTTCAAATCTTTGGAAACTATAGATCAAAAAAAATGAATCTCCATGGAAGTAAAGTAACTTACGGGAGCTGAAAGCCCGATCTCGAAGACTCTAAAGTAAAATCCCAAAGATGGCGAGTACAAAACCAGAATTTTATTGGCTGTATAACCCAACCTGTTCACAATACCTAATTCTTTAGATCTCAATCGGATGTTTCTCCGATATGTATGTTTTTCTCTAAAAAGTCGGAATCAGATTTCTGGCTAAACCGAATTGGGCCAATTGGCTGTTGATATATACAGTAAGCTTTTGGTTTGGTTCGGGATAACTTTGTTTTAAATTAAAACCAGCTTTGATTTTAAATGATGAGAGAGAAAAGTTGACGCACGATCGAGTCCACTTTTCTGTCTCTTTAAATCGTCACTGTCCATCGTAAAAGCAAACATTGACGTCATCTCTTCAGAAGCTTCCTTCTGTTTTGCTATTATTGTCTTGAACTTCCTGTATCTCTCTTGCTCTTTAGAGCTGAATTGCGCCGTGTCCGTGTGCATGGTTCAGTTCACTGAAAAGCTTCTCTTAGCTTTCGTTATTGGTTCAGGTGGGGAACCACTTCTTCATCTCTCCTATTGTTTGTATTGTAGAAACAAAAAGGCGCCTCGTAGTAGTGAAACATAAATTCACATTGATATCTTCAAGTTACAGAAAGCTTGCTCATTTTCTGTTTCCATAAACAGTTTTGCAACAACATTGGGTACAGCTCTCGCTAATTACTACCTCGTGCCAATGAGAGCACTTGGTTGCAGCTGCTCTCATGGGGAGGCATATCGGTGGACGTAGCTTAACTTCCATTTCTGTTTTCCAGTTTCTCTAAGATTCTGATTTTTTTCCTCTTATATTGGCTTTCATTTTGATTGTTGTCTTCAGCAGCCAGTCAACTATGTTGCCATAGCCAATGCTCTTGGAGTTTCACCATCAGTGTTACCTGCTGATAATGTTATTTGCGTGCTGTATATTTCACTTCATTGTTCGCTATAGGCTCCAAAATACCTGCTGAAACTCTACCTCCACCAACTAGTGGTAACCCTGAATGTTGCCATGTGTTCTGTTCCCTTCCTTTCCTTTTTCATGTACATTTTGCTCATTCAGTGGATATGGATTTAGTTTCTGATTTCTGTAACTTAGATGCAGAGATGAGCAAAGGATCTAAAACTGAAAACAAAATCCATGTGTTACTGATAGCTACTGGAATTCTTTGCAGTGATGCATTTCGCTCTTCCATTAGTTTTTTTATTTGCTTTTGTTTAGAGCAGATTTGTGTTGTGTGATCCAATCTACAAGAAAAATTCTCTTACCTACATAATCAGTGCAGAGAAACTTTACTATGAAAGCAAAAGTTCTCGATGTAATTCTCCTTTAGTAATAGCTGCTGATAGTGTTAAATGCACTGCACTATATTTCATGACAACAAAAATCTATCAGCAAATGAAATAACTAGGGCTGAGCTGAAGACAAAAGAAGTTGAACGAGTGGGTGCAATAAAAGGAATTGGCCATTTGAAATCCTCAATCATTCAACATTTCCTTTCCTTTACAAAATTAAACAAAACAGAAACTTATTGGGGGCAAATGCACCAGAAACAACCAGAGAAGTGTCCAAGGATCTGACTACAATCAACAGCCACGGAAACAAAATCTTATAGCACTTTTGGACCCTTCTCTAATACACGGAAATTTGATATGATTTGGGAATGAGTGTAAAAAATGAGGGACCTCCTTAGTAGGACCTGGCAAAGATTGCAACTTCCTCTGCTGGATTTCCAGTCATGAGACATGTTTTGGTCCCTATAGTCTGTTCAAACGGGAAACACCGAATAGTAGCACCAGTTTCCTCCTTTACCCTTTGCTCATCCGAGTCACTGGCTGACCATGGACCTCTTGCCCATTTCCCTGAAGAAATCGCAGCTTTAAGCTCATCGTATGAGTACACGTCCACTATGTTACTGCACAATCAAATTATTAAATTGTGGTGAGGAAGAGCCTGGTACCGGGAGAAGAAAGATAACAATAAAAATAAATGTACCTATCCCTGAATGATATGGCCTTTTCTAGAAGTGATAATTGGATCTCATCCAACTTCTCTTTCACATATGCTACTAATGTTGACGGCTCCATTGATATTCCAAAAACTTTTCCTGCCTTTCCTGGTATGTCCCTCCTCGAGACAACAACAGAGCTGTTAGATACATCGCGTGGACCAATCTCGATCCTTATAGGAACTCCCTGCAAAACGAGTGAGACCTATCAGAGCTGTTTTTATTAACCTTACAATAAAAAGTCTTTTCCGCTAAGAGAGTAACGAACCTTCATTTCCCAGAAATTGAACTTCCATCCTGCGGTTCGTTCTGTAGTGTCATCAAGTTTAACTCTAATCCCAGCAGTTTTGAGAACTTCCTTCACTGATGATGCTGCACTCAGAACTTCTGTTTTCTCACTGTCTTTCTTCCAAATAGGTACAATCACTACCTACCAAGGAAGAAGAGAGAAGATAATGTTAGTGGAATTATCATGTTATTCAGATATAAAACTGCTTACGGAATCCCAAATTAAATAGAAGAGATAACCTGTATTGGAGCTATCTTGGGAGGAAGCATAAGACCAGTGTCATCTCCATGAGTCATGATAATGCCACCGACAAAACGTGTACTGACTGCCCATGATGTCTGCCACACATGTTGCCTTTCTCCATTCTCATCTTGGAACTGCCATGGCCATATATGTCATTTAACATTCTTTCGAGATGAATTTGCAAAAAGAACGTGAAAAAGCTAAAGCATAGATAGGAAACAATGCTTTCATCATATAATAAAAAGAAAAGAGAACTCAACTCCAAAAAAATTCAAAAGTCAGCACGCGCATGACATACTTCTACGATAATTGTTTGTACCTGAGTTCCAAAAGCACGAGAGAAGTTTTGCCCTAAGTTGTGGCTGGTACCAGCTTGCAAAGCCTTCCGATCTCCCATCATAGCCTCAATAGTATAGGTTGTATCAGCACCAGCAAAGGTCTCCAACTTTGATTTTCGACCTGTAATTACAGGTATGGCAGTTTGCTCAAAAGCAAATCTGGTGTAGATCTCGATCATCTGTTTTGCCTGCAATACAGCACTAGACATTCTTCACACACAAAAAAAATGACTAAATAAGTTGACCACAACAAAGTGGAGAACAAACCTCATTTTCTGCCTCCTCAGGAGTGGCATGAGCAGTGTGACCCTCTTGCCACAAAAATTCAAGAGTCCTAATAAACGGTTTTGTCCGCATCTCCCATCTAGTGACATTGGCCCACTGAACCGCAGGAGCAGTAGAATAAGTGCCAGGTTTAAATACTGTAGGAAGAATAATATACTGTATTTTGGATTTATGGTCACACCTGATTGATCATGAGAGGGAGATCACGATAACTGTGAATCCACTGGGTGAACATGTGATTCACAATAGTTTCACTGGTAGGCCGAACCTGCCACAACCTCAACAAATGCAACAATCAGAGCCAGAACTTAGGTAATGAATTCTCACAACTCGAGCTTTGTGGTAAAGCACATACCACAAGCTTCTCTTCAAGTTCATTTCCTCCTCCAACAGTGACAAGGGCTAGCTCGGGACTAAATCCCTCAACGTGTGAAGCTTCTTTCTCAATAAAAGAATAGGGTATAAACTGCACCAGAAAAGGCCAAACTATCACTAAAACCACCATGTAACACGAAAACATAAGAAATACATGGCATAGATGCATCCACTTCGTTACTAGTAAAGTTTCCTTCGTTCCGAACAACATATGAAACTTCTGTCTTATGTAATAAAAAAACGTCTTTAAGAATAACAAAAATGGTTATAACTAAGAAGCAAAGTTCAATGAATGAATAAATCAATACTAAGTAATGTCTGAATAAACAAAACAAAACAAAACAAACAGCTAAATAAAAATGTTCTGCTTGAAACAGTACCTGTGGGAAGTACATGTTACTATGACCAGTCTCTTTGAATTTCACATTCAAGTAGTCCTGCAAAAAAGCACAACGAACAAGACATGAAGCGAGAGGCAACAGTTACCGATAACAATAATTCAATTTTAAAACCTGAATCGCTTCCCAGATGGCGTAACCGTAAGGACGAATGACCATAGTACCACGAACAGGACCATAGTCAGCGAGTTCAGCGCTAGCGATAACATCAAGATACCAAGCGTTGAAGTCCTGCGAACGAGGCGTGACGGCTTGGTCAGACCTGAGTCGCGGAACATCATCCGACTTGGTCTCCGGGGAGGCAGTAGTGCCACTCGAAGCAGCTCTGTTCCGTAGAAATACGGTTCGTCGAAGAGCTGATGGATAACGAGTGGTGGCGGGAAAGAGGAGGGAGGTGAGAGAAGGAAGTCTCAGAGAAGCTGCTACCATTTCAGAGAAGAGAAGATTTGTGTTGCTAAGGTCAGAAGTTAAAAGTCTTCTTCTTCTCTTTGCGGTGGATGATGATGACTCTTGACACTTCGATAGAAGCCCATTAAGCTTCAAATGGACTTATAAGCCCAATAGGTCAGTGCTTGTTTATCATGATCTCTCTATACGTGATCAATTTTCTCGAACGCATATAAGACGTGATTAGTTATAGACTAGAAAGAATAACATCTTCTCTATCAAAAGAGAAGTACCAAATTTATCTACTATTTAGAAGTTATGTTGGACCATGTCATTAATTATTCAGTTTAACATTATTAATTGTTACATTAACCAGTCAAATATATATTATTTTCAAAATATTTTAATAATTAATAAGGTCGTTAATAATAAATAAATTTAAATATAACAAAATCTGTTGAAAAAATCTAACAGGATCTTACCAAAAAAATTTAATATTTTTTTATAAAATAAATATCTCTTTATTTTGTTATTAGATATAATTAAAAGTAAAATATAAATCATATATTTAAAAATTTTAGTTATATATTTATAAAATGAAAAATATACATGCACGGATGTGCGGGTGAAACTCTAGTCTATTATATTAAAAGAGAAGTCATGACTCACTTCATGTGTGATTTTTTAGTTTGGACCATCCTTAGAAATTTTATATAAATTTACATAACATCATTATAATATCTTTTCATATCTTTAATTTTTAATTGAAATACAAATAAATAATTTTAAGAAAATTCTAAAAAAATCTTTTAAAAATCTTATAGAATCTTTTCAAGATATAGTTTCAAAAATTA